TGTCTTTGACACTGCAACTTTGAACAGTATTAACGACACGATCACGAACTGGTGCAGAAGGCAACGTCAAATAATATAACCCCCCTATCCGTTTACCATGCCCAATCATCTCGTGAGTCCTAAGATCCTGAAAAGAGCAATGGGTAGGATAGAAAGTAGCAGAAGCATTAAGTGTATCAAGTAAGCGACCAACAGATAACAAGTTACAATGGATATTGGGAACTAATAACGCATGAGACAAGGACAGAGTTGGGGTGAGAGAAATGGTGCCCTCGCCAATAATTGGAGAGGGCAAGCCATTAGCACTAGTTATGTATGGGTTACGGGTGTTACTAGACAACTCATCAAAAAATTTAGCATCATAAGTCATATGATCAGAAGCACCAGTGTCAATTATCCAAGTATTAGAGCCAGTACCTGGAATAGAGTCAGAAACACGCAAATTTGCAGAAGCAGCAGCAGCACCAACAATGGAATTATCACCCATGATTGTAGCAGAAACCCAACAAATCACGCAGAGTATACAACAGAACACAGCACAGACACAAATCCGGCAGATGTACGAAGACAGTAGAGGCACACAGTAGAGGCACGAACACAGTAAAGGCAGATGCACACAGCGGAACACGGCAAAAGCACAGGAAATAGAGGCACGAACACGACAGAGCACACAGCGGAACACGACAAAGGCGCAGGCACAAGAACCCTAAAGAAATTAGGGCACACAGTAGAACACGGGTGGGCACAACACACACAGGTCACCAGAAAGTCGGCTCTGATACCAAGTCAAATAATATGGGTAGAATATTTTCAAATATATTTCATTCTCCGAAAGGAGGTATTTATAATACAGGTTACAAACCCTAGTAGGGTTTAATTAGGAAATAAGTGGAATCCTAATTACATAATATCTACACAAAAGGTAAAATAAATAAAACCCAAATAGAATAGGACTAGGACTCGCCAACAGTATTGCTAACAATAATTTGGTATTCTAATTTCCTTTTTTTATAGAAGCGATATTGGTGGAGGGAGTACCCTTTTTACATCTCTCTCAACCCAAATACCCAAAAGGTAACCAAACGACAATAGGGGTGGATACAATTCGGTCCAGCCCATCTCCACCCCTCAATTGCCTATCGAACGATAGCCAACCATCGGTTTTGATCGGCTCAGTTATGGAGAAAAACAATCCCAACATCTGAACCAAACCAAGTTGCCCTCGGTTTTGTCATTAAAGTCGCGACGTTGGCGAGATTTCACTAGATCCCAACTCGTGGGGAAGTAAGATTACCGGATTCAATGATCCATGGTGCATGCAAGCAAAATGTCTACATCCCGACCGTTGGCGTAGGTTTAAAACATAGACGGAAGAGTGAATGAGAAGTAAGGCAGATGGAATTTCTTATCTCGGCAAAACAATTAGTTGAGGCAGGAAAACTGAAAGTAAAACTATTAGTCTATTTACTCATAACATTAGGATAAGAACTTCCAGATGCTACAACTTCTGTAGAAAGGGCATTCTATGATATGAACTTTATTAAGAACCGGCGGCGCAATTGAATGAGAGATCAATGAATAAATGATAGTTTGGTTGTATATATTGAGAAAAACATCTTCAATGACATTGATAATGACTTTATAGTCCAACTTTTTCAAAACATGAAAAACTCGTAGAGGACAAATGTAAATATATTTATTGTACATGTTATCAATTTTTATTTATTTATAGAAATTATGGGATTGCATTCATAATTCAGTAAAAAAGCCTAGCCACAAAGGGCCAATACAAGCTAGCCACAAAGGATCATTACAATAACGGAGCGATCTAACATCAAAATTAAAACAATATGAAGAGCTCCTCTACTAATTATCATGTAGGATTGAAGAAACTCTAGTATAGGCATCCCAACTAAGAGTGCAAACTCAAAACAACCAAAAACAGAGCAAGCTTGAAAAAACCAAGCCAAAACAATACAAATAAAACTCTCATAAAAAAGAGGTGAAAAATTCTCACAAAAGAAAAGGTGAAAACTACACAGAAAACACAAAGTGTCTTCGTAACTTATTCCAAACATGAAAAAATCTCAAAAAGGATGGTGGTTGAGATCCGTCACCAAAACGAATGTGGAGATCCAACACTGAGACGCATCCGCCTGTGATGAGTAGAGGAAAATCATTATAATTTGAAGAATAAGGGAAATCTTCTGTCTCTAAAAATTGGGGAAAAGAGGAGAAGGGAGGAAGGGAACAGTGACTTCCTCTCCCCTCAAAGTGAAAAAGGTTATAGAGTGTTTTTTAAGAGAGAAAGAGAGAAGGCTAAGGTTTTCGTTGTCCCATGTTATTAATTATTAAAGGCTGGAATTTTGCAGTTATATGTTGTATTTTATCTTTTTTACATAGAAAAAATTTTGAGTTTGCCGTTGAAGGGGATGTGGAGTTAAATTCGAATAGCATGATACTTTTGTAAGTGTTGGAAAGCACTGTCCACACATTGAATTTGAAACAAAAATATAATATTATTTCTGGAAAAAGTTTATGACCTTATGGTTATGGATTTTTTTTTAGTTTGTTTCTGGAAAATGATTATTATATTAATCTTACCTAGCGAAACATTAAATTAAACCCCTTCCTACTCTAGCTATGTATGAACATAAATAGGCAAAAATAGTATATAGCTTTTTGATGGCCAACATTCTAGGTATGGGTGTATAAATAGTAAATCTAGAATCAGCTAACCGATATCTAAATGAAAAATAATTATTTTATGATACTGAAATATGATCACGTAATATAATTCGTCCATGTGTTATAACGATTGGGTTAAGATTTCCCACTTTCGAGTTATAATATCAATTAATATCCATTTATATTACAACACATACACGAGTTATACATTTGGATCATACTATTACTACACTATAATTACTCTACTCAATGAGAGAGACTTTCATGCAACAGTGATAGCACCTTTAGCTATCTTCAGCTAATAGCACAATGACATGTGAGATAATTTTTTTACGTGTCATTGCATTATTCGCCTGAGTGCTATCTCTGTTACAAGAATTTTTTCGGGAAATTCACTATTATACCCAATATAAGAGCCCAAATTATATAAAAAAATCTTACATGAAATGGACTTTTTTTGGTCGGAAATATGAAATAGACTTTAGAAACACACCCAAAAGCCCATTTACAACATAACAAAAAGGCTTTTAACTTCTTTTAAATTACAAAACTATCATTGATTTCTTAAAACAAACACAATCCCAAAACCTCATAAAAAAAAGCTCAAAACACTCAATAGGGCATCAAAGTAATTTAATAATCAAAATTAAATTTAATAGAGCCAACTATCATTTTTTGAATTTTTTTTGGGTTTGTTTATAGAAATTAAATGATCTAGGGTTTATTTATAATTTTAATAATTAAGAATGGGTATATAACTAAATATCTCAAATTTTTTCAGCTACTAAATGTACCCTTTAGCCAATCAGCTAGAAGCCACGTCATGTTCAGTAGATTTTGATGAGATTATTGACATGGACACAAATAATATAGAAATGAACAGCACAGAATTTTTAATGAATTCAATGTACGAGAAATGAGCATACATTATTGTAGAAGGCCATGCCTCCACCATGCCCAAGAGAATCATGCCTAATGGACCTTTACGCCAGAAATGATATATTAATCAATTTGGATCAGACAACTCATATGATTGCATCTAATTTCTTCTACTGTTTTTATGGATCTGATCAAAACCCACTTGGATAAATCTAATTAATTTTAATGAATCTATTAAAGGAGAAGACTAATGTAAATGTGAAGCTTCTCGTACTTTGTGTCCACCCATGATAACTTTACACTCGCTAAAAATCTTGGCACAACTACACGACTCTCTCTTACAAGCTGCTTCTTGTTGTTGATGATGGAGGTATCAGAGCGGGTTAGTTCACGTGTGAAAGCCCAACGGTCATACGTGCTTCACATCATCCAATATATATTGTCCACGAGTTAGGTTTGAAGGTTCGCCACACATGCGGGGGTGTATAAAGTCACACATTGGAGAGTTAGAAAACCTTACAATGACTTATATGGTGTTGAGCTACTCCCTCAATTGTCAATTGATTTTCAGATATAACCTCAACTTCCTTTAGTCTCCTTCTCCCCCAATCCTCCTCTCCTCCCATATATGTCAATGTGCAAAATTGTTAGCAGCGTAGATTTGAATATTTCTTGGAAAATGATTTTCCCACTTTTTGTGCTGAAAAGGCACCGATGGCAGCTTTTTTTCTTTTCTTGCAGAAGCGGTTGCTCAAAGCAATTCTAAGATAGTATGTACAGAAGTATGCAAACTTTATTGTCTAGCCACATAATTATTTTCAAAATCTAGTAAGAGAATACCTCTTTTAGGTACAATTGAAGAGCCAACCTGCAGGAGAGGGTAGAAAATGTGACACTGCCATTGTCAATTAATATACACCATATTTTGAAATGAGAATTTCATAATTTTTTTTTTCTTCTCAAATTCCGGAAACAGTTATGAACTTAACTTGGGGCATGGTGAAGGCATGGTCATTGAAGTTCAAAGATGAGCATACATTGAATGGCTGCCATATTTTATTACTAAATTATTAATTTACTGTAAAAGAGCATATGCGCTCGTAAATTTTTATTCCTGACGTAAAAGAAGAACATGGGTGTTTTTTTTTTAATGACTTGAAGGATTAATGTTGTCTATTCTGACGTTTAAAAACTTACCTCTTATGAATAGTCCACCTTAATCCTTCAAATTTGAGACAACATCCATATTCTTCTTTCATTTCAAACGAGATCTAAGTCGTTTAACTAATCCAAGCTACTCTAGTCTAATTCTCTCCATATCAAACGCGGCATTAGAGTTTAGAGTTTAGAATTTAAAATTTAGGGTAAATATCAAATGTCTCCGTTCTCTTTCACTTTTTACTATTTCATTTGTTGAATATGTAACTTTCATCTTTCTTGAGATACATTCAATTGGCACTCACTGTCATTTGCAAAGAGAGACTAATCCTATTATTAGTCCAATCCCAGTCAACACATCACTCTCTTATCTCCTCTCCCTCTCTCTCTCTCTCTCTCCCCTGAATGCATGCTAGGTGACCCCCACCCCAACCCCAAAAGTCCATCCCCCACTCACATCACCATCCGCTACCCAATCTAACAACGCCACCTGTCCCAATCATCCTATTAAACGCCAAAACAAACAAAAATAAAAGACCGCCTAAGCCTTCTCCAACCCTCCCTCTTTCTTCTCCTCCTCCTCATCATGGACTCACAAATCCAGTGAATCACTCTCTCTCTCAAGCTCTCGTCGTCATAGCCATGGAGAACTACTCCTACAGCTCCTACCCGGAATCCGGCGACTCGTCCCCTCGCTCCCGCGAGATCGATTTCGAGAACCCTCCGCCATGGGACGTCGACCAAGCCAATTCGCAGGCCCAGAACTACAAAGTCAAGTTCATGTGCAGCTATGGCGGCAAGATCCTCCCCCGCCCGCACGACAACCAGCTCTGCTACGTCGGCGGTGAGACCAAGATACTCGCCGTCGATCGCGGCACCAAGTTCGCCGCCCTCGTCTCCAAGCTCTCCTCCCTCTCCGAAAACGACGTGTCGTTCAAGTACCAGCTCCCCGGCGAAGACCTCGACGCCTTGATCTCTGTCACCAACGACGACGACTTGGAGCACATGATGCACGAGTACGATCGCGTCTACCGGACTACCGCTAGGCCCGTCCGCATGAGATTGTTCCTCTTTAACGCCAGCCCTGACGGCGGATTCGGGTCGGATGGTGGAAGATCCGATAGGGATCGGTTCGTTGAAGCTCTAAATTCCAGTCCTGCCCAGGGACCCGACTCGAATTCCAAGCCTCCTGTACAAAATAACGTCGACTTTCTCTTCGGTTTGGAAAAGGGAGGTGTCCCTGCCGTCGTGCCGCCTCCTCCGCCCGCGGTGCCTACGGTACCGGAACACGTGGCTCCGCCACCAGAATTCCAGGTCAGGTCGGGTCATGGTGACCGGGTGATCGGGTCGGATCCGGTGGAGTTCCAGAGGCATTTGCAGAGGCTACAAATTGCAGAGCAAGATCATCAGCAGGCCATGTATCGGAGACAGGTTGACGAGAATATCGTCGGAGGGTACGGCGGCGGGGCGGGAGATTATTACGTACAGAAACTTCCAGAGAAGGCGCCTCCGGTGACGGTGGGGCCGCCGGCGGGGTACTGGGCGGAGAAGCAGGTCCCGAGTGTGGGGTTTCCAGGGACGGCCCCACCTGAACAGCCGATGTACATGATCACAGCCACCACCGGAAGCGGCGCTATGTATCACGCGCCGCCGCCAATGGTGCGACCGGTTACCGGCCCGCCCGGTCAAGGGGATTACCACATGCAGCCGCGGATGGGGTCTGAAGTTTACCGGGAACAGCCGGTGTACAATGTGATACCACAGCCTCAGCAGCCGCAGCAGCAGCAGCAGCCAAGTACTCTGCCACCGCAGCCTCAGCCAAGTACTCTGCCTCCGCAGCCGCCAAAATATGTGGCGACGTACGCCGAGGCGCCGCCGTATACTCAGATGGCGTACGATAGCGTGACGGGGAGGCAGGTGTACTATACTGCGCCAGGAGGTGGGGTTATGCAGCCACCGCAGCAGCAGCAGTCGTACCAAGCTATGGGTCCCCCGGCAGTTGGCGGTGAATTGCGAGTGGCTGGCGGGTTGAGCCAAGAGGGTAAGGTGGTGGGTTCAAAGCTTCCACAGACTTCTGTGTGATATTTAATTTTTAATAAAAATTACAATATGAATATATATATATATATATATATATATATATATTATATAATATAAATAGATGAGATAAATTTGAAAGTTGGTTATGTTTCTGCTGGTCTCGTGTTTTGATAACATATGGTGGAAGTATTATTATTAGTTTTTGCTTTTTATTTTGTATGCTTTGTTCGAGAGAAAGATATTAATGGCTTTTGTGCTTTGTCTTGCTATTTATCTTTTTTGAGAAAAGAGCGATAGTATTATTGATAGAGGGAATAAGTAACAGTACCAAAAAAATCAAGGCGTGTTGTCGGGCGATTAAGCGAGTTTCTCTACATACACGGACAATTTATCTTTTGAATTTGAAGCGTATATATTTATCTCCTTTTGGATTCATTTTTTGACATAAAATTTTTATTTGAAGCACATATATAGCCCTTTTTGGATCCATTTTTTAACATAAAATTTGGTTTGTTGTGTGCTTCTGTGCATTCACGAATACGGAGGGGGTTAGTAATTTTCAATTTTCTCTCATGATTTTACTTTTTTCGTTGAGCTTGTCAATCAATGCCCTTTTTAATACAAAGCGTTAGCAGCTGCATTTGGCCAAAAACATTTAAAATGTTTATGTTCTTCAAGAAATACTTGAATTTTCGACAAAAATTTCGACATTCTAATCAAAGTGCTTCTTCAGGTAAAACTAAATAAAAACTCCATGAGAGCCCTGAATATTTGAAACCTTGTTTAAATGGGATTTGAATGAAAAACAAGAGGCTAACTAAACCCTTTTTCTTTTTGCCTTTAAAAAAATGTATTACTTGAAAACAAATACAACAAAACGACTTTCGTTCATTTGCAAATAATGTGCATTAACAACAATAAATAAATAAATAAATAAATAAATAAAGCAAAATATGTAAGCATCAACGTTAGGAAATCTTACAATTATTTGAGTTGCATCTTTTCTATCTCTGTTGGTGTATGTGTCGACGTGTGGAGGTTTAGTTAGCTGTTGGACAACAATGAAAGAGACCTCCCTCTATAAATATGTAACAGCTCGAATTTCCATAGACAGGTGTGCATTTTCCCGGGAAACAAACAGCAATGATCAGCCCCACTTGCCACCCTCTTTCTTTGAATTCAAGCATAAGCATGGACGGGTCCTTTTCTTATCTTATTTTCCTAGCAACTTCATCATCATCCCCACACTAGGAAGTCGTCACTGTTGGTTGACATATTTTAACTAAGGGCAGGAAAATTTAATGGTTTTGACCAATTGGCTGCAGCTACATGTTGTATTAGGTTATCATCCTTTTTTTTATTTTTTACTTTTTATCCTTAATTCTGATACTTCGTTATTTCTACGCCGCTTAGTTATCGGTAGGTTTTTACTTTTTGACAAAGTGATATTCTAAACTGCTTTAATGTACGAAAAGGAGAATCAAACTCGATTCGTAAAGCATGATGGAGCTAAGATTTAAAGTTTGAGGGGCCAGAAAATATAAGCGAAAGTATACAAATTATATTAACATTGGAGACAAAATTCCGTGGGAAAAAATAGCAAAGCCTTTTCAAAACAAAATGATCATATCTGTCGTAACAAAAAAGATCAGGAGCTTCACCCAAAATCGCTGTCTTGTCTTGCACCATGTGTTCTCTATCTTTTACATCTCTGTGAACAATCTTTTGCGAGTTTAGGCATTTGACAACCACATAACAGATAATAACATTACTTCCCCAGCCCAGCCACCTGATCTAACAATACAACACTTTGAGGCAGGTCACTTACACCCATATGTGTCACATTTTGTTGTGGATTGGCTAAAAATAAATTTGTAATTCAGAATGGCCCTTTAAATAATTCTAAGTTTTCAATGTAAACCGCATCAAAGTCTTCATATCATCTCTGTTCTTACGACATAAAAAAAATCCTCGTTTTGTGTAACGATCAAGGAAACATCTGCCGCATTTTGATTATCCGCTAAACGTAGAAATGGTGAATGTAGAAACGATCAGAATCATTGTAGGCATTATCGGTCAGTTATTTGTTTAGTGCTTCCGTTTATTTTCCTCTATTTTCATTCTTGCTCTTTGCCATTACTATTTTGGTGACACTACTACACTGGTGAGAAATATACGATTATTTCTACTCACATTTATCTTACCTATACTGTTTTTTCTTGTTCCTTTTTTCTCATAGGTAATGTCATCTCTTTCTTTTTGTTCACCTCCCCATTGTAAGCTCTAGTTCCTTTCTCTTTGTCTTTATCTTTTTCTGATCTCTAATCTATGCATTTGCGAAGATCTTATGTTATGTGATGAATTATGAAAATACTGCAGCCCAACATTTGTGAAAATAATCAAGCAAAAATCAGTAGGAGAATTCAAGGCGGATCCTTATGTAGCAACATTGCTCAACTGTGCTATGTGGTGTTTCTATGGCATGCCCTTTGTCCATCCTGATAGCGTTCTTGTCATTACAATCAACGGCTGTGGATTCGTTATCGAACTCATCTACATTGCCATCTTCTTAACATACTCTTCTAACGCAAAACGCGTAAGTAATACTACTAAGAAGTGAAATATCATGAGCTATGGAATGCTAATACCTTATTAAAACTACCATATATCCTTATTTCCTTTGCAGCGAAGGATCCTTATTGCTCTTCTGGTTGAAGTTATCTTCTTTGCTGTTGTGGTTTTCGTCACCCTGCACTTTTTCCATACCACTAAAGGCCGGTCTATGATAATTGGCATCTTGTGCATTGTCTGCAACATCATTATGTATGCCTCACCCTTGACAATCGTGGTATGTAGAAATAAGTCATTTCCATATATTATTAGATATTGCATGTCTTAAATATTTTTTGGTCGGAATCGAGAGACACACAAAAAACCACATAATTTGACACACATTTTTAACTTTTGGATGAATCATCATCTAAGGGTAGAAAATCATTCACCACGGCTTTATATATCTTACTTTTTGGGTGGCAGAAAATGGTCATCAAGACAAAAAGTGTGAAATATATGCCGTTTACCCTCTCTCTTGCTAACTTATGCAATGGAATTGTCTGGCTCATCTATGCACTCATCAAATTTGATCCCTACATTTTGGTAATTCTCTATACATTTTTGTTGTTTCAAGTACGTACACGTTTATTTAATTATTTTTATTTTAAAAAAGAGGAGTGAATAATCATTTTTCTTTGAAAATTTTTGGCAGGTTCCCAATGGTTTGGGATCAATTTCTGGGTTGGTGCAGCTCATCCTATATGCCACCTACTACAAGACCACCAACTGGGATGAGGAGGATGAAAAGCCGAAATCTGAGGTTCAACTCTCAAATGTTTAGAAACGTGAAAGAGGCTCTTGTTGCTTCAATTCTTGAACTTTCTTATGTCCAACCAATTCTTGAGATTTATTCATTTTTCTTGTTTACAACCCACATCAATACCACTTGAGCTATACAGACTACAGCCTAGTGAATTCCCAAATTTTGAGGGAATTATAATTTTCAGCCGTGGTCATAAGAAATAATTTATTTTTTTCCCGATTCATTGTGCTTTTCATTTGTCTCTAGTTCATTTGGATCAATTATTCCACAGAAGTGATTTTTAAACCTTTTACCAAACGAGTTGGGATTTCAAAATTGTCAAAATAATCACTTATGGCTCAAAATAAGCAATGCTAAACGGCAGTGAGTTGGTATTTTCCGGTTGAAGAAGTCAAAAGAAAGGCCTTCATATTACCCACATGATCGTTTCCTTTTTAACTTAGGTCAGACTATAATGAGTGGAAAGTTATGAGTGGTAAGTTATAAGGGGTTCACTTTATAGCCATCAGATCAATCCAAAG